CTATCTATCTATCTATCTATCTATCTATCTATCTATCTATCTATCTATCTATCTATCTACCTATATATCTATCTACCTATCAACTTACCTACTTTCCTATCCTATCCTATCCTATCCTATCCTATCCTATCCTATCCTATCCTATTCCATCCTATGCTATGCTATGCTATGCTATGCTATGCTATTTATATATATATGGCTGTGTGTTTGTGTGTGTTCCAGCATAACTCTGGAGTGCCTTGAGCAATGTCAACCAAACTTGGTACACAGATGACTTACTCTCTGGAAACAAATACTGTGGGGGGTAAGATACCCCTAACACCCCTTGGTGTTCCGTTATGAAACAACCTGTTGTGCCTTCAAATGGCTTCTACTGCACTGCCATAAAATGGCTTCTACTGTACAGATATCCATTGTAATGGCTTCACAATACTCCACAAGGGGGCTCCCTCTGTTAAGGGGGAAAATCCAACATTAGAAATTACGTTTGATCTGGACATTTCCCCACTATAAATAAATACCCGGACAACGCCGGGTTATCAGCTAGTGATTTTTAAAAATGCCACTGTGAAATGGTTGAAACCTTGCTGAGCTTTAATCAGAGGTTGATAACAATGATCTAATTGGTTAATCCTTTCCCACAGCAGACTAATAGCCCCAATATGTGCCCCAGAACATATCTGGGCAATCTTTTTATATCTCACAAATGAAGGCAAAGATACATGTCCCAGGATAATGTTGCAGGATCCAATCTGGGTCGATCGCCGGGAAGAAAGGTTTTGTCTTCCGAGCTTTTGAACTCGTGCTGGAGCCCATGCAACAACCAATGACTTAATAACCAGCCATCCACACCACGATCAGCAGCTGCCTAAAAAGACACACGCAACAAGGCATTCCATAAATACTACACATAGAATAGGCCAAAAGGCACATTCTGGTGAGCAAGAAATTCCCTGAGCATGGGCCTCCTGCACGGGTCTGAAAGCTCAGAAGACAAAAACCTCTATCAGAGTTTGTTGCAGAAAATCCAGAAAGCACACACAGGTAACTGATTCAGCAGGATTCATTAACTTTTCTTTATGTGTAATATAATACATGGAGTAAATATACAATACCAATAGCAGAGGAGATAACAGTTTCCAGTTTCAGTTCAGAGAGCAGACGAGATTAGTTCTCTTGCACAGACTCAGAGCTACAGAGATAAGCCACGCCCTTGCTCCGAGCCCTCTGCCATGGCTCTCAGTCACCAAATAGTTCCCATTGGCTGACCCAGTTGCCATGCCTATACATGGGCTGAACTTGTTCCTATGTCTCAACCAGTTCATGAATATTCTGACAACCTTTGGCCTGGTGATCAACCAGATAGGGTCTTTTTTATATCTGGTTGAATCGGCAGTCAGAAATTCAAGGTAGTCAGGCCAGGATGGGTGGTTTTTTTTTGCAGCATGGGGAAAAAAAATGTCACTTAGATGTTCTGTATTATAATATAATAACCTCCTTTTAATGCAGGGATGTCAAACTGGCAGTCTGCGGGCCGATGCATAACGCACAGGCCATGCCTACCCCAGCTGCCGGAAGGGCGGAAACGTCATGTGATGACAATGTGACGCGGCAAGTTTGACACCTGTGTTTTAATGTGTTGTCTTCCTCTGTTATCCTTTCAGGTATTATGATGCTGTAGATGCCAAAAAGGACCGAAGTAGCAAACACTCCCAGACCTTTGGGGCCAAGCAGCCAATGCATGCAGGAACCGGGCCAGGCCAAGTGAGCTGAATTAAGTTAGATACAAGTAGGGGGTTTGTGTCAGTGGACAAAATATGAGTAAATGGTTTAATCTTTCCATTTCCTGGCACTCAAAAAGAGTTCGTTAAAATAATGTTCCACGACCATTATGTTTCGTTATTGGAAAGATACAGGTTGATAGAGGGAAGTGTATAATGTAAAACTAGTTAAACTTAGTGAAATTTATTGACAATAGATATAGCTTAAGTAAATAACTGATAGTGTTACTAATGTATACAATGTGTAGTGTTATGATGAGTATAATTGGATGTGAATATTGAATGGTACCCATGTAAGGAAGATTAGCAATCCCTTTGGATTATACATAAAGGTTAATAACAACAACAATAAGAAGAACTAAGTTAGATACAATTAAAGCTTTGATTATTAGGTGGAAAATGTTATGATACAGGATATAGTCAAATAAA